GAGCTCAGGGGATTTTTCCTTTTAACTCTTCAAACAGATTTTTCCCTGCACTTAGGCTGTCATTTACTGATCCTTGTTCAGTTAAAGCTCTGCAAATTTCCAGAGCTCTCTCTGTGCTGCTCTCTCCCGTCCGGTATTCTGCCCTGCAGACTCTAGCTGCCTTGGCCTCCCTGAACTGCCCACTCTGTCCCTCAACTCTGAGAGACTGCCAGGTCTCCCCTTGGTTTCTGTCCATCTCTGAGTTGCGACCCAGAAATTTTCTCGAGGCACTATTCTGGGGCAGTCATGGGGCTCATCTTACTTACTTCCCCTGTCTCAGACAGCACTGTCTTTCATTGCCCAATATGCAATGTCTGAAAACCATTGTTTCATATATTTTGTCTGTTTTTCAGTTGCTTCAGGTAGGAGAGTAAATTCGGTCCCTGTTACTCTATCTTGGCTGGAAGTGGAAGTCCCAATAGGGTTTTAATATTTCACATAGAAGGAAACTGAGGCTCATAAATGCTAGAAATTTCACCAAGATTATTCAGCTGTTTAGTAGTGGAGAAAAAATTCAAAACAATAAACTGTAGCTTTTATTAACGGGAACTGATATATTAAATTTGAGCTAAAAATTTTGGGGTTATCTTATATTTTGAAAAATTTTGGAGGAATCTGATACTTTTCGTATTTTGCAGTGGGGTCATTTTTTTTTTCTCCCATTTTAGCATTTCTAATGTGATTCTGCTTGTAGAGCACATTTAGGATTATTTTCAAAAGGTGTGAAACCTTGCCCATTTTGATGATCTGATATTGATAAGCTTTCTATTGGAAAATCCCTTCTGGCTCGAACTTCAGTTCTTGCATTTTCTAGGGATGTGACTTCTTTGCAAATGTACTGGAATTACCTTTTTACAAAGGAGGGAAAATTATTGCTAAACTACATAAACATGATAAAATGAGAGATGTGGAAAAGTGCATATATAAATTCCCACAGTTCGTTTTTATTACTTTCACTATCCAATTCCATCTAACATTTTCTGAAATAGTAATAAATTTTTGAAGGGTAAAACATATGGCATTTGAGTATGCCAAGTGAGAGAGATTATTTAGATAGTGAATATTTGCAAAAATGTGTGGCATTATAGTACCAGGAGGTTTTGTGTTTAATGAGAAAGGAACATTTATCCCTTTACAAATACACGAGTTATAAATATATACTAATATATGTACATATCTATAAACACAGATACTCTGTGTTTGTCACAAGCAATGTATTTTCAAATAAAACGTTATGTAAATAATGCTAAGCCCCATACAACACCTCTTTTAAATGTGTGAGAAGCTGATTTCTTACAGTAACAGAAAAGCTAAACCCTAGAGGGTGATTCATACATCTTTATATCTTTTGATTTTAATTATATCTGTATATATAATATTATACATAAATTTATTTCTTAGTTGACTATCTAAATTGTTTTTAATATTACATGAAAATGAGGTTTGACCCTTGTTTCTTTTAATATTTATTCATTGGAGTTCATGCTTTCACTAGAAACCTCTTACACTAGCACACAGCCGTGGGCATCTAACTCGCACGCCAATATGTTCACACATTCTTCTCTCCCCTAAACTGAATGGATGACTCCTAAGACCCTTTCAAGCTCCAGGATAAAACATGGTAGGTGCCTGTACCAGGATTTCCTCATCGCAGGATATACATTGTCCCTTTGAAACACATCAGAACACCATAAGACAATTATCTCCTCCAGTATTTCTACGAGGAAACTTGGTTCAGGGAGATTAAACAATTTGCTTCAAGTCTAAAAGGTGGTGAAGAACTAAGGGTCTGACCTGTAGTCTATATTCTTTTTCTACACCACTGGTTTTTGAATATTTTTACCAAAGATACATTTTTAAAATGATACACTATGAGAATCTCAATCTTAAAACATATAAAGTATTATTTTATTAGTAAATATTTACTTTCATAAATTCAAAATGAAGATATTTACTTATGAGGTTAATAAATGAGACAATTTTGATATACATAAAAATTTGAAATCAAATGTTATGGATAACAGTTTCAGCCTTTTAATGACCTTTATTCCAATTTATTTCTACACTGTGTTGGATTTGCAGTGATAAGATATCCCTTATTTATAAAAATAAGTCATTAGTATATGGAAACCGTTCTTTTTAAACAGCATTCCTCAAAATCTCAAGATGTCCTTCAGTTAGACTGACCCAAAGACATGAAATATGATTAGAAATTTTTGTTTCTATGATGATTACTTAGAATATCTAATGACTCACATTCCTTGTGTTAAATATCTCAGACAGAGTGCTATCAGTACAGTACTTCCACATGTATTATATGATATTATGATGACATTACATGTATGTTTTCAATGCCTTTTCCCCAGTCCAAGGGCAGACCTGAGACAGCAGACCTGTCTCACGCTAGCAAAGTTGTGACAAATAATGTCCTCAGTGTATATAACTGCACAGTTTACTTCTGTCATAGAATTTCAAGGAAACTTGATTTGGCACAACTTAACTACTGTGAGCCCTCAATAAATGTTAATTATTGTCCGTAGTGTCAATATACTCTTGTTTTTTGGGGAAATGATTATGTCATATATGCTTGTATTGGCTTATCACGGGGAATCAATAAAAATATGTCAAATGAATGACTATTCTGAGCTTATTAAGCTAGCTTTTATTATATCCTCATAGTCCAAATATTTTCGTGGTATAATTTAGTTATACTTTTCTTTTAAATAATCTTTGCCTGAATAAATGCAGATTAGAAGAGATCTCTGTGTCCCTCTCCTAATTTCAATTTTGTTTTGTTCTTGACTTCCCTCTTCTTTACTCTCTTGAGATGAACATAATTTCTGGTATCTTGTTTTGTGATATTCACCTCTCTGTTCAGACCCTCGTTAGACCTTGTGTTTGCTCTCCCCGGGTCCTTTGACTTTTGATCTATTTCAACCTTTTTAAATGAAGAGTCACTGAAGACTTCTCCTGTGCAGAAGCACAAATTTCTCATTATTCAATAAGAAAAAAGCTTATGACGTTAGTTTCTCAAACACATAGCATTAAAATTAATTATAGTATGTTCTTTGAAGGAATGGTCCAAGGGATGGGAAGGTCGGGTTGAAATTATATTCCCTCACACTGATGAAGTGTTTTCATTAACAGGATCCCTAGTTTACATTCTTGGTCTCGTGTGTCTATCATTGTTCTGCCCTTGATTCTGAGCTTTTCTTAATATTAGTGTATTGCCAAGACTATAGAAGCCATGGAGAGAAAAAATAGGTTTGTTGTACCAAGGACTTTAAGATAATATTGACTTGTATGACGGTAAGACAGATACTGATGTTTATTTAAAATCAGGTTTGCCCGGCTGTGAATGAAAAAACAACTTTTGGGCTGGATGACAAGGACAGGAAAAGGCAAGTGGCAACATATTTAATAACAACAGTAAAGTATATATCTATTAGTAGGTGTACAGCGTTTCAAAATACCCCTTAACTTCTATTATTAGAAAGTACAGCCAAACGTTTTGAAATTTCAGAGTTCAAAATTCAAGGAGATGAATACTTGGATGCTAGCTCAAGCTAATAAAAAGGGATTTTAAGATGTGAAAATGCTTGTGAAAACCAAGTTAATTCTCCTTTAGAACTGTGATGTCAATGCAGATTCTGTATATCGGAAAGTATAAACTGAAATGTTAACAGGCTTTCACATTACAAAATGAAAAATTCTCGTAGTTGGGATCTTTTATTCTGTGCAGTGTTTTCTTTTTGAATTCTGGAAGACCATAAATTTTTTAATGTCAAGAACATTACTCAAAACATTTTAAAGAAGCCATTGCTATTAGCGTGGTTCATATGCCAAACTCTCATGGGAACACAACTAAGTTTGTTAATTAGACAAACTTACTGTATTCTAAATTTTAGATATGTGATGGCAATATCATGAAACCAGTCCCATGAAACACACAATTATCTTATGGCTCTAGAATTACTCCTAGTATATTCATACTTTCTGCACTACAGAATTAATATGGACTATTTTAAAATAAAACATTATTATTTCCTTATACATATATTCTATCTTTATTTCTTCATCTATAATTACCATCTCTACAACTTCAATCTACCACAAATAAATCTCAAAAATTTAAAAAATTCTCAAAATTTAAAAAGTTTAAAACATGTATCACACTAGCAAAAGAAAGTTATATTATCCAATAACAGATATACATTCTTTATTTAGCAAAGGCTATCATTAAATTATATAATTTATATAAATTATACAATTAGACAGATGTCACTATAACTTTAACATATTAAATGGACAGTTGGAACCATTGTGTGCTTGTTAAAATCTGTTGCTACGCTATTCATTATCAGCAAAGATAAAACATTTTATCTGATTGATAATGTTTATATTATTGCAAAAAAATGCTAAACAATCAAATAGTAACACTACAGAATGCAGAGCATGTAATTGCAATGATAATATGAATATATATTTCAAATTAATTGTAAAACCTAGAGAACATGGGGTAATTTATTAAATTATTATGACTAAAATATTCCATTAAAATGTTTCAATTTCATTTTTGCCAAAATTTTGTTCTTCTCTACTCTCAGTCATTTTGCCTCCAAAAAAACCCAATTTACTTACCTTGGTTGGTGATTCTAAGAGATATAAACTCCAAATTATGCATGGCACTGCTAGGAACTTGTGTTATCTACATTAATACACACTTATTTCCTCTAATATTTCTTCCTTTACATATATGATAAATATAATTCTTTCATGATATGATATATACTATGATAACATATAACAATGTAATATATTCTAATATAGTATTAAGAACAGAAATTTACATAGGAGGAAACACCTAGAACCTAAAATGGAAACAGAAAATAGTTTCTGTTTCCAGAACAAATATTAAAGTTGTTAGCTTGGTCATAAACGTTAAACAAAAAAGATCCTACCTGATGAATCAAAGTTCACCTCATTACCAGGACTTGGACCTACATCAATGGACACGATTGGTAAGAGCTTCCGAAAGTCCCACAGTTTTGTAACTCCACAGGCATCGCAGGATGCTATCATGTGACCCTTGAAAGTATTTTTTAAAAAGAGAGATATATATACATACATATGTATATTACATATATACAAATATATATAGTAACTCACAGACATAAAAGATCTGTTTTACAATTTTATTAAATCCACAAGAATACACTCTTTTAAACTAAAAAGTATTCATTATACTTTTGTCTTGGACATAAAATTGTTATAAAATGATAACTTAAATATATAAAATCCTATACTGAATTTTGGAAGATGATCTTTCAGGACATCATTTTGATTATTGTAGTCATATGAGAAGATGTAATAAAACAAAAATATACACTCCCACATAATTTGTCTCTCTCTATATATATGTGTCACATATCATACATATATGTGATCTACACATAAAAACTATATACATGAAAATATTGCACTGAAATTGCACCTCACTTTTTATGCTTGTAATTAATTAGTCTTGATGATTTATACCTCAGATAAAGTAAAAATAAAAACAGAGGTATGAACACAAACATACACAAGAAAAGAAGAGTTTTTACATAGAAGTAGAATGACTGGGGCCAGGTGAAATTGATGACAAAGAAGTGATGCCTATTGTGTTCTGTTAGACAAAATTATTAGAAATAATGGGGGCTATTTTCATATCATGTAGTAGGATAAGGAAGCAGGTACTTGGGTAAACGGGATGGAAAACAAAAGGAAGGGTAGATGGGTTCCTGTTATGGAAACAGGGCAGATATTTTCCCAGTATGGAAGCAGCCTCCTGGCAGCATCAGTTCAGAGCTCATGGTCTGTCTAGACCCCTCCTGCTGGCCTCTCAGGAGATGGTTACTGAGAATCCACTTCACGCCAGAGACAGGGATATAGTGTGAGTAAGGGGAGTTTCTGCTGTCCAGCAAATGTAATCTACACTCATTGTCATCATTCTGTCATTTAATTTCTGTGTCCACTGACCAATTGAATATGAGTATTGGCCACATCGGGCCCATACATCATGTTTATGATCTGTCATTATACTGTCTCCAATTTGATATACAGCTTCCCTTTCACTTCCAGCTTAATTTTTTTACTAAGTCAAAAATCATCCTCCCATTTCTTCCTAAATATTCTAAAATGTTAAAGATAAGAACTTGATTACTGTACAACTTTCCTTCTTCTCATTTGAACTAGCTCACACAATGTTTTTTTCTCATTTACTCCTTGATTTCTATCCTTTCTGTAAAAACATACGCATCTTGCATTTCAGTCCAACTGGACTGTTTTTCCCTAAACACACCAATAATGCAACAAATGCCATTAGTTTTAAAATTTAATAACTGTTGTCACTGGCAAAGCAATACAACAACCTTGTCCCCAAACTAATAAATAGGGTGTTTAATCTTTTTTATGACTTAAAAGGAACATGAAGAACCTGGAATGTTTTCAAATGTGTAAACATGTATGAATTGTGAAGAATCAGTGAATTTAATTTTCAGAAAAGAATAGTTCTCAGGATTAGCAGGGAATATTAATGTTAGAAATCAGAAAGAACTCTCTTCAGATACAAGGGCTTTCAAACATCTTTCAGAAGTCACAGAATGGGATCTTTTTCAATTTTGAGAAAAGAATAGATAAATTTTAATCAGAATTTAGTTTGGATGCCCTTCTCATCAAAGGAGAGTAATGGACTTGATCTACTTTTCTTGTCTGGATTCTACGAACTAAAGACAATTTTATGTCTTTATACCACTGAATGTGCTTTATACCACTGAATATTAAAATTTGAGGAAATACACTAAAAAGAAAAAACAGTTTCATCATTATGGGGAGGTGAAAATGAATATTCAAATAGTTTTAATATTTTTACATTTAACTTTTACTGCTGTCAAATGATCAATGTGTAACAGTTTGATAATATTAAAATAATAGTCAATACTTATTAAATGTTTTTAATGAACCAAGTAATGTGCTTAATTATTTATTAATAAATAGTACATATTATTTTAAACAATTTTGAGTAACTAACATCATTTAGCCAGATTTTTCCATCTCCCAAGGAACTTAGAAGCCATGATAAAGCCATGGTAAAACAAATATAATAACTTATTAAGTGGTAGAAATAAGTTTATGTTCATATTTGATAACTGAGAGAAAATTGGTAGTGAAAGAATATAGCTATACTTCCAGTTAGCCAGTGAGGCAGATGCAGTCCCTATCCAAGTGCCCGGAGCTCAAAAAATGTTTGTTAAACCAGTAGAAGATGAGTGCCTCACTGGAGCCTACCTAGAAGTTTTACCTTAGCCCAAGTCCTTCCACAGCAGTCTTAAGGTCAATATTAGTTCCAACACTGATGGTTCTGAGTAACTTTGTTAAAAGGAAGAGATAACGGATGTAGAGAATCCAGAATCAAAAACTTGGAATATCCTCAAGACCTGTATCCCTCCCCCTCCCATCTCAGATGGACAACCATCTGCCAATCTCCTTCCACTGGGCAGAAGAAGATACTGGAATATCACGAATCCAAACTGCACAGTGCGGGTGTTGAGGGATCTGAGGATGGAGAGGTTGGGAAAGGGATTAGCTGACAACCTGGAGGAAAAGCAAATATTTTATCTAGAACTTATGTCAGGTGAGAAAACACAGACTAGCTATGTAGTTAGGCACTTAAACTAAGAAAGATAGATTTCAAAGAAAATGTTTTTTTAGAGATACGGAATTGTGCGACAGTCTTAAAAAAAGTAAAGACTTAAGAGTTTTGGTAACCTCTCTGAAATATAATTCTGGTTTTGTCAATTGATACCAGTACTGATACATAGGAGGGGAAGGTAGTTGTGTAGAAAACTCTTAAAGAAGTTCAAATTCAGATAAATGGCTGTTTTTTGAGACACTGAATCCCCAGCACCCAGCTTAGTTCCTGCAACATATTTCACATTTGATCTTGAATAAATCATTGAATGGATGAATATAAAGGGAATAGAGAGCAATCATTGTTGACTGTACATGGTCTAAAAGGATTTTTTCCAAATATAGAAGTATTAAATGAGCGGCAGCTCAGAAAAACATGTTTTTGTGATCGCAGATTCAAATAGTTAAATAAAGCAAGTGGAATTTAGCCAAGTGGAGACAGGGTACAGCTGAGATGAAAGTGAATAGTCACGACTCCTGACTGCCCCTGTTAAGCCTTCCTACTCCCAATTTAAAGATTCTGCAGTGAGAAAAGCCATATAGACATGAAGTTAATTATAAGTCAGAGTAGAGCAACATAAAATCAAACTAGCTTCCTCTAGACTGCTAGAAATATATTGGAGAAATATTTGGCCGTACGTATCAAGGATTACAAAAGTGTTCATACTTTGAAATTTCTACTGCTACTTTTGCAGGAAAAAATTATAATCAAAAAAATTAAAGTAGCACTACTTATGAATAAAAAAATGGAAACAAGTGATATTTGTAATAATCTAATATGGAAGAAATAAACTTTGTGCTTTTGTGGATCCAGAAAACTGCCAGAGGTACATTTTATGCAAACTTGATACCAACAGTGCAGGAAGACAAGCAGACTGAACTGCTGTCTCTCTGCGTAGAGGTTCTAAGCATATTGATACACCATAAAATAAAGCAAAGGAGAAAATTGGGATGCTAATAAGGTCATTTATAAATTAAATTAATAATTAAAAGACTATTTTCATAAACCAATAGTATCTTTAATATAAACATATTTTATAGCTTCACATAATTTGCAAAAACAGATTTTACAAGCTTGGACGTTAATATAAGTTTGGGGTTAAGAGGCAATTTTTCTGGTAGGATAAAAAAATGTCATATGGTAATAAAATATTTTATGTGAGACTCCTTATATCTTTATATTGCATGTCAGGAAGAAATACAGAGGATCTTAATTTATAATGGAAAAAACAGGTCCAATCTAATTGTACTTCGGACCTTCATCCTGATGAATCAGCTAAGCAGTTCCTTGGTTCAACTCACTAGGCTATACATATATATATACATTTATTTTTCCCATCTTCTCTTGGAAAGTTGATTTACAGAACAACATCTAAATAAGCAAAATATTTTTAGGTCCATGACATTACTTCTTTTCTGCAAAGGATCTTCAAAGCTGAATAACAGGATATATATAATATTTTCTTCTTAACGAGTTATACAGAGTAATAAAAAGTTAAATGAATGATTTCATATCAGCTATGCCCACATGGGGATGTTGTAAACTCTGTAAATGCAGGTACTTTGGCTCAGCAGTGCATTCCCATGACCTTGAATAGCACATAGTAAATGTTCAATAAATAACTGCAGTAGGAATGAATAAATACCCTAATTGAATTATTATGAAGCCATAAAAATAACAATTACAGAAACAATGTAAAACATGGAAAAATTTATGCTAAACTGTGGTTGCACTGATTAAAAGTATATAATACATATGTACAATGATTGAATGAGGAGATATGTTTATTAAAAAACTGCCCTGTATTTTGTTTTGAGACTTTTTTTAAGGCAGTTTTAGGTTCACAGCAAAATTGAGGGGAAGATACAGAGTTTTTCCATTTACATCTCATTACCCCCACCCCACACATATACACATGGCCTCCCCCATTTACAACATCTCCCACCAAAGTGGTCCATTTGCTACAATTGATGAACCTACATTGATGCATCATAATCATCCAAAGTCCATAGTTTACATTATGGTTCATTCTTGGTGTTGCACATTCTATGGGTTTAGACAAATATATAGTGATATGTATCCATCACTGTGGTATCATATAGAGTATTTTCACTTACCCAAACACCCTCTGTGCTCCTCCATCCCCCACCCCAACCCAGCTCTTGGCAAACACTGATATTTTCACTGTCTCCACAGTTTTGCTTTTTCCAGAATGTCATATAGTTGGAATCATACAGTGTGTAGTATATTCAGATTGGCCTCTTTCACTTAGTAATATGCATTTGTTTCCTCCGTGTCTTTTCATGATTTAATAGCTAATTTCTTTTTAGAGTTGAATAATATTCCATTGTCTGAA